TCTCTAGCCCTAGACATTTTTTCTCTATAATTTCCTGTAGGATTATTTTTCATTAAAAACTTTTTTTCAGAGTTAGTTCTAGGACAGTCAAGGTCACACAAAGAAATCCTATTTAAAAGAAAACTATATATATATATATATTATTTTGTTGTTGTTTTTTTTTTTGTTTTTTCGAGACAGGGTTTCTCTGTGGCTTTGGAGGCTGTCCTGGAACTCGCTCTGTAGACCAGGCTGGCCAGATCTGCCTGCCTCTGCCTCCCGAGTGCTGGGATTAAAGGCGTGCGCCACCAACGCCCGGCTGAAAACTATATATTTTAAAATTTTCATTTATTTCTTTTGTATAGGCAGGGACTCACTATGTAGCCCTTGCTGATCTGCAATTTGCTCTGTAAATCAGGGTGGCCTTGAACTCAGATCCAACTGCCTCTGCTTCCCAATGCTGGATTAAACTGCCATCAAACCCAGCTAGGGGCTATTTTTCTACTGAGAATATTTGTAATTTTCCAGGAGCCGGCTTTGTGGCAGTTTCAGATAATTTTGAGATATGAAGCTAATTCTCTTGCTTGGCAGCTAGATTCGTTTAAGGGAATGTGGTTGACATGTGTGCCCTCCCCTCCCTTCAGTGAGACCTGTTGATAGAAATTCAGTCTTGGTTAAGGGGTACAGGGAGGATCCAGTTCCCACCATTCATTTAAACAGCTGCCTTTAGCTTTGACCTCTGGGATATCCCACTGGGCTCCAATGGAATTTAATTTTGATATTTTGACATCCTACTATTTATTGCTTGTGGTGAGGCAGTGCTGTGAAACTATCTTCATGTAGCAGTTCCTCTGCACGTGTTCTGGCCCCTCCTGTCCTCTGTTCACTTTCTCCCTGAGCTTCCTCCCCAGCCCTACCTTAGGTTTTCTTTCGGTGTACACTTAGTCAGTCCTTAATAAGGAGGATGACAGTTCTCAAGGCATAATGGATACATACTTGTTAATTTGATCCCATTTCGAGGAGAGGCAGGGTGTTTTGTTGTTGTTGTTGTGAGACAGGGTTTCTCTGTGTAGCTTTGGCTGTCTTAGAACTCCCTTAGTAGACCAGGCTGGCCTTGAACTCACAGAGATCTGCCTGCCTCTGCCTCACAAGTGCTGGGATTAAAGACATTGGTTACCACAGCCCATTGAGGCAGGGTGTTTGTTTTTATTGTTCTCTTGTTTTTCTTTTCTAAGACAGTCTTACTTTATAGCCCAGGCTGACTTGGACCTCAATATGTAGGCCCAGGATGTCCTTTTTTTTGTTTTGTTTTGTTTTGTTTTTTTGTTTTTTTGAGACAGGGTTTCTCTGTATTGTTTTGGTTGTCCTGGAACTCGCTCTGTAGACCAGGCTGGCCTCAAACTCACAGAGATCCGCCTGCTTCCCGAGTGCTGGGATTAAAGGCGTGCGCCACCACCGCCCGGCCAGGATGTCCTTAAACTTGAGGCAGTCCTCTTGCTTCATGTTTTCACATGTTGGGATTGTGAAGTGTAGGACACTATGCCCAGCTAGACTGGCAGGGTGGCCTCCTGAGTTGGCCAATCTAGACAGAAAGATAGCATAAAAGGCTGCTGGGCAGTGGTGGCGCACGCCTTTAATCCCAGCACTCAGGAGGCAGAGGCAGGGAGATCCCTGTGAGTTCTAGGTCAGCCTGGTCTACAGAGCAAGTTCCAGAACAGCTAGGGCAGTTAAACAGAGAAACCTTATCTTGCCGGGCGTTGGTGGCACACACCTTTAATCCCAGCACTGGGGAGGCAGAGACAGGAGGATCTCTGTGAGTTCGAGGCCAGCCTAGTCTACAGAGTGAGTTCCAGGACAGTCTCAAAAAAAAAAAAAAAAAAAAAAAAGAAACCCTATCTCAAAAAAACAACAACAAAAAGGTAGGAAAGGGCTTGAAAGATGGCTCAACAGTTAAGAACATGGCTGCTTTTCCAGAGGACCTGGGTTTGATTTCCTCATTCACAAGGTGGCTAAGTTCTAGGTGAATCTTACCACATCTTCTGGTCTCTTCAAACACTGCATATAGGTGGTACCCAGACATTTGAACAGATAAAACACCCATGTACATAAAATAAAAATAAATAAGGATTCCCAAAAAAATAAATAAAGGAAAAAGAAGAGGAAAGAGGCTTTAGTAAAGAACAGAGTACTTCCTGTCCTAGAGTGATTGTGGGTTTCCTGAGAGAGCTGCTGGATCAATTTGTAGAGGGCCAAGTGTGATTGTGGCCTGTTACATTCCAGCCTCTCCCTTCCCCAGCTCTGCTTGTCTTCATTAGACACGCCTGGGAAGTGTTCCCAGTGACCTCAATTAGCCATTGAGATCATGGGAATGTAAGATTTTCCCATGTCATCCTGCATAGTTGTTCAAAAGAGCAGGAAAATGTCCTCCTTTCAACCAGGGAATTTTAACTACTGCCAGAGAAATCCTTCACTGATGGTCTTTTTTTTAAATTTTGCTTTTCTTTATGTATTTATTTTTATGGTACAAATTTGTATCGCTGTGTGTGTGTGTCTACATAGCAAGTTCTAGGCCATTCTGTGTTATATAAGTCCCTGTCTTTACCCCCACCCCCACCAGCAACAACAACAACAAAAAAAACTGGGTGTTGTGTTACAACACCTTTAATCCCAGCACTCGGGAGACAGAGGCAGGCAGATCTCTGTGAGTTTGAGGCCGGCCTGGTCTTCAAAGAGAGTTCCAGGACAGCCTCCAAACCTACAGAGAAACCCTGTCTCAAAAAACAAAAACAAACAAACAAACAAACAAACAAAAAACCCCAAAAAACTCAAGATGAAAATGAAAGAAATAACAGAAGTGGAGATGAAGGGTAGTGAAGAGTTTAGAATGGCATAGTAGAGAGAGCCCTCTGCAAGCCAGGACAGCAAACAAGTGGAGTGAGTGCTAGTTTACATGCAGACACTGCTGATTCCTAGAGAAAGACCTGTTGATGTTGTCTTTTGTTTGTTTTGTTTTCCCGAGACCAGGTCTCCCTCTATAACTCTGGCATGCCTGGGAACTCAGTAAGTAGACCAGGCCGGACTCACAGAGATTGCTTGCTTCTGTCTTCTGTGGTGTGATTAAAAGCATGCTTTACCATATCCAGCTTAAAGAAAGTTAAAAAAAATTGTGTGTGTGTGTGACACGCATATGAAGGTCAGACGATAGTTTGCAGGGGTCAGATCTCTCCTTTCATATGGTACCAGGAATGGAAAGTGCAAGTTGCCAAGTGTGGTAGCACATGCCTTTACACTGAGCCATCCCACCAGTCCCGAGAGAGGGGGTATCTTTTATGTAAATATTATTGGTATTTACTTCCCTCTGAGATACAGAATCCTTTTTTTTAAAGATTTATTTATTTATGTATTGTGTATACAGTGTTTTGTCTGCATGTATGCCTGAACACCAGAAGGGGGTGTCAGATTTCATTATAGATGGTTGTGAGCCACCATGTGGTTGCTAGGAATTGAACTCAGGACTTGTGGAGGTGCAGCCAGTGCTCTTAACCTCTGAGCCATCTCTCCATCCCCTTGTTTTCTTCTTTTTTGAGATAGGGTTTTGCTATGTAGCCCTTGCTGGCCCAGAATTTGCTGTGTAGATCAGTCTGGACTCTAGGTTGTCTAGAGTTTTCTTGCCTCTACCTGTTGAGTGCTGGGATTCACAGGCACTGTGCCCTGATGGCCTGTCCCAGAATGCTTTTATGACACACAGCTCACTGAGATTCATAGGCAATTATTGGTCAGTGAGGGTGGCCTTTAGGTTATTTTTCAGACTACTTTCAGCTTTTTGTTACCTAGATAGAACTAGAGTGGGAGGGTTAACCCTACTAGGTTTGTACACAGTGGAATGAAGAGTTTTGTTGGCCTGGGGGTAGGTCTGTATTGTTGACTTGTTCCTTTTACTTATGCATGTTGTGACTTTGATGTATAGTAAGTTTCTTCATGCCGAGGAAGTTTTGTTTTATTTTACCCCCACTGTTAGAGATCAAACTCATATCCTCATGCATACTAAGTTTGCTTTCTGCCACTGAGCTACACCTCTAGCCCAGAAATAGTTTTCTTAAAATATTTCTAAGGAATGAAAACCAGTACTTAGCAAAACTATTTCTCACTCTCCTATGCAGGCCCTCTGCTAAGCACTGTGATATACACAACTTAGATGGGCTTTTGTCTTCAGAACCGGCAGACTGTCAGGAAAAAACGTTTATGAGGTTAACTAATGCAAAGTGGGATGCTCATTGTTCCAGAGGAGCTAAAGCTAAGCTAGCACTGTGGATATCAGGCAGAGTGAAAACAGGGAGGAAAGCTTAGAAATAAGAAAATGACCGACTGAGGGAAAATTAATAATGAGTGTAATACCCAGCAGGGATGGCAGATTGTAGGTACTCATCAACTTTGCCTTTTCTTTAAAAAAAAAAGTTTGTACATTTATTTATCTGTTTGGGTATTCATGCCTGCTATAACATGTATATGGAGGTCAGAGGACAACTTGCAGGAGTGAGTTTTCTCTTTTGCTACGATGTGGCTTTTAGGGATCAAACTAGGTAATCAGGCTTGGTGGCAGGTACCTTTACCTGTTGAATCATCTCAACAGTACTTTCTAACTCTAAAAACAAGTAATCTCCTTCCAAGTGCTGGGATTAAAGGTCTGGACTTGCCATGCTCAGCTCTAGGTGATTTTCTTTCTTTTTCTTTTATATAATTTATTTATTTTTATATGATGTGCATCGGTGTTTTGCCTGTGTGTATGTCTGTGTGAGGCTGTTAGATCTTGGAGTTACATGCAGTTGTGAGCTGCCATGTGGATGCTGGGAGTTAAACCTGGGTTCTCTGGAAAGAGCAGACAGTGCTCTTAACCTCTGAGCCATGTCTCTAACTCCCAACCCAGGTGATTTTCTAAATTGGAAATATAAAACCAAAGTAGTTGGTAGGGATCAATACAACCAACTTTTTCTAACCATTTCTTTCATCCATCTATTGAGCAGAGGGATACAATCCTGGAAGAGCTTGTTCTTCTACACTAAGTGGGGGCAATGTCACAAGTTACAACAACTACTTACTCTTTTGATGCCCCTACCAACTTCATCAACTTTTCATCTTTGGATGCTGAAGAAGATACTGAAAATGTAGACTCCTGGTTTGGTAAGTTGCTACTTTCTCTGCCATTTTAAGGGTTAGAATCTTGTTTTGCACTGAGGACATTTCCAGAGTGGAAGGGCTGGAGAGAGGGCTCAGCGGTTAGGGGCTATTCTTCCCAAAACCCGCTATGGTAGTGATAGCTGTCTATGGCTCCAGTCCCAAGGAATCTGGTCCTTTCTTCCGTTTGCCACAGGCCTCAGGCATGCATGTGGTATGTAGACATATGTGCATGTAAAACACCCCATACATATAAAAATAATTAATATAATTAAACAAAAAGCAAGAGACTCCAAAAAAGTAACTAGGCCATCCTTCCTTCCTTCCTTCCTTCCTCCCTCCCTCCCTCCCTCCCTCCCTCCCTTTTTCCTTCCTTTCTCCTTCTCCCCCCCTCCTTCTCCCTCTCTCCGCCTCTCCAGGGGTTCTCTGTATAGTTCTGGTTGTTTTGGAACTCGATCTGTAGATCAGGCTGACCTCAAACTCAGATCCACCTGCCTCTGCCTCCTGAGTGCTAAAACTAAAGGCGTGTACCACCACTGCCCTGTTTAGACTATACATTCTTGTCCACACCATGACACCTTCTCATTTGTGATTTAGTAAACAAAACAAAAAACTTTTCAACTACATAAGTCTGTTCATATGTAAAATTAGTTTTTTTGAGATAATGTCTCATATTGTAGCTCAGAGTGGCTTAGAACTCTTGACAGTTGTCCTGCTTCAATCTCAGAAATGCTGGCATTTCTTTTTCTTTTTTAAAAGGTGGAGTTAAAGGTGTACGCCACCATTGCCCGGAGATAGAAATATCAGGAAAATCCAAAAATGATGTCATGAATATATGTGTAGATAATCTTTCGTTTACTATAATATTTACAAATTTATTATAAATTATAAGTTATTGAAACACAAACACATTTAGACTGCATATGTAATTGTATAGAAAGGTTTATAAGCAAATGTTAAGCAGTATTAAATCATAACTGCATAAAATTAGCTATAGTGCAAAATGTAAGCTTTGCATAGCTTCTGTTTTAGGGAGCCAGAAGTTGTTAGGTAGTTTTTTGACTGTTCAAGAGTAAGTGAAACTTGAGGATTCAACCATGTTTGTCTGTAATGGTGGTGATCACATAAAACCTACACCATTGTCATCTGGGCATAGACTGTATCTGACATTGCTATAATCTGCCAGTCTCAGAATTTCTCCAGGGTGTGTGTGTGTGTGTGTGTGTGTGTGTGTGTGTGTGTGTGTGTGTGTGTGGTTTTTGTCAATCACCTGTGTGGGTTCATGTAGTTTGCATCTCAAGATATGATGAGTATTCTAAATCACAAAGATCCCATGTTGCCCTTTTATTTTAATTTTATTTGCATATTTGCTTACTTTTGAGAGCAATCTTATGTCTGTGTTTCTGAGGCTGGCTTTGAACTCCTATGATTAAGAGATCTCTTGATTAAATTGTGCCTGGCTTGTTGACATCTCTCATCATCTTTTTAGTTTTTGGAGACAGAGTCAAATCTGACCTGAAGGTCTCCAGCTCCCAGGCTTCACCTCCCTCTTGATAGAAATTAAGTCTCAATTCATTTTTAAATTTTAATTATATTTATTTTTTGAATCACTGTCTCATGTATGTGAACTTTCCATCTATTTCAATCCCTATAGTGCTGAGGATATTGGAATATACCACCATTCCCAGCTTATGTAGTGCTCGGGACTTCATTTAAACACTAGTGTATGGTAGGCAAGTACTGTACCAGCTTGAGCTACATTCCCAGCCCTCAAATTCTTTGTTTTTAAAAAATGCTTAATTATATCATCTGTTTTGGGAATGTGTACTTGAGTACATTTGCCTACAAAAGAGCAGAGATGTGGAATCCTGTGGAGCTGGAATTACAGGCAGTTGTGAACTGCCTGGTATGGTTTTGAAAACCTAATTCATGTCTTCTGAAGAGAATTACTCCTACCCCTGAGCCCTTACTCCAGACTTCCCAAAATAGTTTTTTGCTTGTTTTTTTAGTTTTTTGAGATAGGACTTCTCTATGTAGCTCTAGATGTCCTGGTACTTATTTTGTAGACCAGACTGGCCTTGAACTCACAGAAATCTGCCTGCCTCTGCCTCTCAAGTGGTAGGATTAAAGTCATGTGCCTGGCTCCAAAATTGTTTTTTTTTTTTTTTTTTGGATTTTTTTTTTTTGGTTTTTCGAGACAGGGTTTCTCTGTGGCTTTGGAGGCTGTCCTGGAACTCACTTGGTAGTCCAGGCTGGCTTCGAACTCACAGAGATCTGCCTGCCTCTGCCTCCCGAGTGCTGGGATTAAAGGCGTGCGCCACCAATGCCCAGCTCCAAAATTGTTTTTAAATGGAGACATTATGGTACTAATAGCCTAACCCACAACAGATTTGAGTTCTGTGATGTTCTATGATATGGTACAAACCTAAAACTAGGCCAAAAACATTTTTTTTTAAAGATTTTATTTGTATTGCTATGTATGTCTCTCTGTGTGTGAATGAGTGCAGTGCACATGTAGACCAGGGGAGCGGTTCAAGGTCATAAGAGCCTAATTTGTGGGCTGCCTGACATGGATGCTGTGAACTGAATTTCTGTTTTCTGTAAGAGCAACAGTGCTCTTAACCATTGAGCCATCTTGACAGCCCCTTGCTTGTAGTTATATTTAGATATAACTTTGGGATAATGTATGAGTCCAGTTGTTGATGAGGCGTCTTCATTTTATCCTTTTTCTTGTCTCCACCTTCCTCATTAAGAGACACTAATATCAGTATGTGGTGGGAACAAAAATTACTCTATTGCAGCTGCACTTACCACTTAAAATGCAGAGTTCAAATTACATGGTCTCTGTTACTCTCCTGGGAAAAGAATTAGGTGTTCCTTTTAGTAGAGGGCTCTGTCGGAAGGAAGAGCAGATAGATAGTCTGGCCTGCTGTCCTAGAGTGTTGTGTGCATCCCCATAGCTCTGCAACCCAAGGTAACACCTTGACTGTCTGAAGATTTCTTTTTGTAAGTTTTTCTTTACCTTCCAGCTATCTACTGAAAGGGAATATTAGCATAGCAACAAAACTAAATAGAAAGTTTGGAAGAAAAAAATAATCCTGTACTTAGAAAACCACCTTAGCTATGGTATATTTCTGTCTCTTTTTCAGCTTATCCCATCTTTTCACATGGTTCTAATCAGAATGTCCATGCACAGTGTAGTTATTCAGGGGCCACTGCTCGCCTGTAGCTTGACACAGCCCCATCACAGCGGAACCCAAGATAAAACTCCTTGAGAAAACTTCTCTCTGCTCCACTCCCACACACCGCATGCTCTGTGAATACAATCTGTCCCTTGTAATCTTACAGTTCCTAGTGGCTACAGTTTTCTTCAAGGAGAATGTCATGTACTTAAATGGTAGATAAGACCAGATAATGTTGGTGTGGCCCTAACTATGTATCTTAACAACGATGAAGGAGTACAGAATCTGCAACTTTCCTTTACTGTAAGACCTTGTTGAATGTTGCAGGTGCTTTGGGGATAGATTTTGCAGTCTGTCCCTGACTGCACACTCCTTTCCTTTAGTTGCTAGAATTGTGTTTTTGCTAAAGGTGCTGGAAATGGACTTTACTCCCCATTTTAATGCATGATTCTCCTTTGTTTTGCTTCCTTACAGAGGAAAAGGCCAACTTGGGGAACAAGTTTCTTGGGAAGAATGGAATAGAAGAGCTTTTTCAGGGCAAAACTTCCTTGAGAAAAGCCAAACTCCAGCAAAGCCGTGTCACACCTTTGAAGGCAGGTAAGGAGAAACAGCTTAGACAAGTGCCTTGATTCTGGTGGGGATTAGAGCTGGAACTCTGAGGGAACTACCAGAGGTGTAATTTTGGTTTATTAGTGAATGGCTGAATTCAGTTCATGGTGGATGTGCACCCAACTATGTGCTGCTCTTTCTCCTGAGAAGAGGTCTGTGTGTAGCCCAGGCTCTCAGACTTGTGATCCTCTTACATATTGACGTTGCAGGCACCACCATAACTGACTGTATTTTTCTTTTTATATGCTTTTAGGATTCATTTGAAGATTTTTTTCCCCCAGTGCCAGAGATTAAGTCTAGGACCTTATGAGTACTTAGTGCTATCCTGAGTGATAATGTTTTTTTTGAGACAGGGTTTCTCTGTGTAGCTTTGGAGCCTGTCCTAGAACTTGCTCTGTAGACCAGGCTGGTCTGCAACTCACAGGGATCTGCCCCTTTCACAACCTAGCACAATTAGTGCTGCCAGTATCTGCACTAGTGTAGGACCATCTACTGGAACATGGATAGGTAGCCTCTCAGGACTCATCTATGAAGAAAACTGGCTCTCCCTCTCCCAGCAGCTATCAGTTGTTAATAACTCCTCAGCTAGGGTGGGACTTCATAATCTGTTTCCCCATCCACACTGGAATTTTGTCTGGCTTGATCTTGGTCATCGTTTTGTGTGTCAAGTTCAAGCTACTAGGAGTTCATGTGTGCAACTGCTCTGTCAATATCTGGATAAGTGCTGTTAATTGGAGTCTTCTATTATCTCTGCCTCTTAGATCCCTGAGCCTTGGAGGCAGTGATATGATGTCCCGTTTAGATGGAACACTATGGTCTTATTATTCTCTACACATTGACCAGTCTCTGTGTTAATTGCCATCTACTGCAAAAAAGAAGCTTCTCTGAGTTTTGGGAGAGGCACTAACTTATGGGTATAAAGATAATACTTAGGGGCAGTTTAATACTATGTCTACTTAGCAGAATAGTAGTAGTAGTGTGTCCTCTCCAAGGACCCATGACCTCCCAAGCCACAGGCCTTTGGACCTATTAATGGTGTCAGGTGTGAATTCCGTTTTCTGTGTAGGCTTTAAATCCAATCAGAAAGTGTCTGGTTACTCTCATTACAATTCTGCCACTCTTGCACTGGTGGGCATGTCTTGCCAGGGCAATTGTTAACTGTAGCTGTCAGGGTTCATGTCTGAGAAAGACTGTTATTACTTCCCCAGTAGTAATACTCCTTCAGCAAGCACTATGAAAGCTAACTAGTAGAGCTGAGGTTCCAGTTTGATACTTGACTTACCCCATGTTGTATGACTCAAGTGTGGTATCTTCACCAATAGGGTCTTAGTGTCAAGTTCTGGAGGGAAGCTAAGAGCATTGACAATAACCTGGAATGTGTTTTGGGGCAGAGTCTATAGGAAAACTGCTGATAAAAACTTAAAAAGAGGTAACATATGTGGCTCTGGGCTTTTTGTTTGTTAGCTTAATGGTGTCTGGGAGAGGTACTGTCCCCTGTTACAGGGTAACTCCATTTAAACCTTCCAATTTTTAAATTTTACTTTATGTCAATGGGTGTTTTGCTTTCATATATGTCAGTACATCTTGCCTGCAGAGGCTAGAAGAAGACGTTAGAACTGGAGTTAGAGACAGATGTGAGACATCATGTGGGTGCTGGGAATATGAGCCCAGGCCCTGTGAAAGAACTGCCAGTGTTGTAACTCTTGAGCTTTCTGGCCATTTAAAGTTGTAATATATTTATAAGTGGGAACTTTAGGACACTTCTGTAGTGGTCTAACTAGGTTTTTGGTTTATCATAGTTGACAACACTTACTATAATGAGACAGAAAAGGAAAATCTTCAGAAACATTCCGTTCCATCAGATGACTGTTCTTCTGTGAATGCTGAGGGGGCTGTATCAGGAAAAACTCCTGTGCAGGCTCAGAGGTAAGAGTGGGGCACAAAGTTGTGAGTCTTACTGGTGCTGCTCAAACAGTATAGAAACTCACAGATCATCTGTGTCCGCCCTGGTAGATACCTGTGTTCCTTCAATGCTTGTGGATTGTAGCTTGTGGGTTTAGTTTATAGGTAAGTACTTATAGATACTTAGTTGCTTGCTCAAGGCAAGTTCATTTCAAAGCCAGGATTCAAACTTGTCAGTTTTAAAAGCTTTGTATGAATGTATTAATGTCAATTACCTTTCTCTCTCTTTAAAATTTTTCATTTATTTTATGTGTCTGGGTGTTTCGCTTACATTTATTTATATGTGTCACATGCATTCCTGGTGCCTGGCCAGAAGGGTGCCAGACTTTCTGGAACTGGAGTTATAGTGTGAGCCCTCATGTGGGCTGGGTCCTCTGCAAGAGCATCAGTGCTCTTAACCACTGAGCCATCCCTTCAGCCCTTAAATGCCTTTCTTTGTTTCTTAGTATTGCAGAAGCTTTCTCATGGTTAGATTTGTATATATTTTCTATCCTTTTACTTTTATTCTATCTTTGCCCTTTATTCATGCCTAATATTTTGTGGTGTTAGAGTTTGAGCCAGTCTCATTTGTGTTAAGCATACTTCCTGTTACAGAGTTATATGCCCAACCCTTATTTAAAATTTTATAATTATGGGGCTGGAGAGATAGCTCAGTGATTAAGAGCACTGGCTGCCCTTCCAGAAGATATGGGTTCAATTCTCAATGCCCACATGGCTGGCAGCTCACTATTGTTTATAACTCCAGTTCCAGGGGATCCAACACCCTCACACAGACATAATGCAGCCAAAACACCAATGCACATCAAATAAAAATAAATAAATCATTAAAAAAAAATCTTAGTCTGGCGTTGGTGGCACACGCCTTTAATCCCAGCACTCGGGAGGCAGAAGCAGGTGGATCTCTGTGAGTTCGAGGCTAGCCTGGTCTACAGAGTGAGTTTCAGGACAGCCTCCAAAACAATACAGAGAAACCCTGTCTCAAAAAAAAAAAAATCTTTAAACGGTGGTGGTGGTGGTGGTGGTGCATGCCTTTGCATGCCTTTAATCCTAGCACTCAGAAGGCAGAGGCAGGAGGATCTCTGTGAGTTTGAGGTCATTCTGGTCTATAGAGTGAGTACCAGGACAGGCTCCAATCTGTCTCAAAAACCCACAAAAAATTTTTTTTAATGAAAAATTTAAAATTATATGTATGTATATTTTGTGTGTGTGTGTGTGTCGCGCGCGCGCACTAGTGCTATCCTGTATATGGACAGTACTTGGAATCAGTTTTCTCTTTTCACCATGTGGTTTCTGGGGCTACAACTCAGGTCAGGTGTCAGGCTTGGACAGAAGCAACTCTGATTATTAAGTCATCTGATGACCCCTCTGCCACACACACATCTCTTTCCTCTTAATGTGGAGCTTTTAAAGCAACCAATCACATAAAGTTTTTTGTAGGTGGCACTTAGTGGGATCTTGCTTTTAAAAATCCGTAACTAAAACCCCAGCTTGGAGGTGGTGGTGCACAACTTTAATATCAGCACTTAGGAGGCAGAGACAGGCGGATTTCTGTGAGTTTGAGACCAGCCTGATCTACATAACGAGTTCCAGAACAGTCAGGGCTACACAGAGAAATACTGTTTCAAAAACAAAAAGTATCCCAAAACAAAGAACCAAACAAACAAAAAATATCATTCTCATTAATTTTTGTTATACTTGAAATGTTGTCAGCTTATATTTGTCTTACTATATTACAATTATTAATCTGGTTAGAACTGTCATTGCTTAGTTTCATGGTCACTGTCTTTTTTGTTGTTATGTTGTTATCCTATTTTCCTTTTCCTGTGTTTTATATTTAATCTTAACTTCTCTGTGTTCTTTCCCATCTTCCCTGGGACCCAGATCTTTGCTCCTCGTACTTGCTAGGCAAGTCTACCACTGAACTATCTCAACCCTCATTCAGATGTATTTAGTATTTTATTTTAATTCTGTTCTGAATTTGAGATAGGTTCTCACTGTGCAGCTATGATTGCCCTGAAACTCAATGTGTAGACTAGGCTAACCTCAAATTTGCCCTCCTCTACCTCTTAAACCCTGGGATTAAAGGCATGTGCCACCACACCCAGGATTCTGATTTTAGTTTTATCTTTTTGAGGCAGGTCTTGCCATTCTGTATTAGCTTTCCTGAGTGCTGAGATTACAATAGCAATACCCTATTTAGTCTGTTTTGTTGGTATTTTTAAAAGTCAGTTTTATTGAGGTCTAATTTGTAAACCACCAGCAAATTTGAATACCACAAACATTAGATTACTAGAGAATGGGTAATAAATGTTTTATTGGCCTTACAGTTTGACATACTTTTACTGTCTGAAGAACATTTGTATATGTGTAGTAAATGTGATCATCATAAGATAAATTGTGTCAATTCCACCGTAGAAGATCTGTTAGACTCTCTGCTCAGAAGGATTTGGAGCACAAATCAAAAAAACATGCCCTTGTTGAAATGAAAGCAAAGAGATGTACCACTCCTTCCAGTGACTTTCCACCTTCCAAAAGAATAAAAATGTAAGTAGTCAAGGCTTCTTACTGTTGCTTTGTAGACCACTGCCCTCTGTAGTAGATTTCTGTTCTGAATTGAGAGTTTTTGAGTTACAAAGGGAAGTTGACAATGAGTCCAACTACATTCTGGTTGGTGTGCCTGTAGATTGGGAAACTCCTAAGCAATGCCATGGTCAGGGGCGTTGTTTCCCTTTGTCTCTTCGGGAAGGTGCTCAAATCTTAGTTTATAGGTTTGACCCCAGTGTTCTACTATGACAGAGACCAACTAGAATACGTGGTGTACAGGCTTATTATTATTATTATAACTTTTCAATTGGGAATGTGTTTAACCACAAGGAATACTCTAAATACTTTTTGTACTTCATACAAGTCAAAACTAGTTTGTCACTGCCTTTGGTTGATTCTTAGCTATTACTTTTTAGCTTTTTCATTTTTTCTTGAGTTTCATAATCAGAAGGTAACTTCTATACCTTTAGACATTACATTCATGTTTATGAGTGTATACTATAAAGGAAGCAGGCTAACACTTAGCCAGGAAAGTCAGACCTTCTCCAGAGGTTATATCTTAAGTTTTATCTTAGTTCAGATTGTCACTTGTATCTCCCAGTTGCAGTGGAAGCTACCGAAGCAAGTGCAATACTTACTTGTAGCTGGCTATATTGCTGCTGCTCCTGAATTTACTAAGAAACAGATATTGTTCTGTTTGTTGACTTGATGACAGATAGAATCACTATATATTCTTAAACACCACCAGATGCCTTACCTGACCTCTGAGTGCTTTCTCATGGTTAACTGTTGGAGCTGTGGCTGTGTGTGATCTCATAATGCGACTGCAGAACTTTGTGGTTCAGTCATGTTGTTAGTCCCCCAAATGAGGATGTGCTTAAGGAAGTTGAAACTTACTTATTTTTGTTCATTTTGAACTCAAGGTCTCATAAAAAGAAACCAGAGGAAGAGGAAGAAGGCAGTGTTCAAGGTACTTCCAGAAAGAATGAAAGAGAAAGTCTGGAGAAAGTTAAGGGCAAACATACTGTGCCTGGTGTTCCACCTGCAAGGTAAATCTTTCCCCAGTGTAAACTTTTAAATACAGTAAATTATAAGTAGGTCCATCTTCAATCCATTTGGCACACCTGCCATTTGGTGAACTCCTAAAAGCTGTATGTGACCCCACCTGTGACCCAGAAGGATGCTGAGATGGTAAACAATGAACACAAGATGCTTGTTTAAAACATGAACAGGGAAGCTGGGCTCTGGTGGTGCACACCCTTAATCTCAGCCCTTGCAGGGCAGAGACAGGTGGGTCTTTGAGTTCAAGGCCAGCCTGGTTCACAGAGTTCCAGGGCAGTCGGGGCAAAAAAAAAAAACCAAGTTCTTAACTACTTCAATGGGATAGGCCACCTTGAGCTTCTTAGCCTTTACCCAGTAAATATACTTAGTTTTACAGTCAGTAATCAACTTTGGGGGTCAGATTTATTCATTTGCCAAGAGATATTTAATTTATTTTTCAGGAAAAATTTGTTTACACTTTAATACAGTGGTTCTCAACCTGTGGGTCACAACCTCTTTGACAAACTTCTATCCAAAATATTTACATTAAGATTATATAGTAGCAAAATTGCAGTTATGAAGCAGCAATGAAATAATTTTGTGCCTGGGGGTTACCACAACACGAGGAACTGTATTAAAGGGTCGTGGCATTAGGAAGGTTGAGAATCACTGGTTTAATAATAGATAATGGTTTATGGGTGTTGATATTTATTACCAATTTTATTTCTGAAATTTAAAAAACAAAAGATTTGCAGTGTCATCACCTTTTTGTTTTTGTAGCATAGGCTGACCTTGTACTAGATAAGTAACAAAAGATGACCCTGAACCTCTGCTCTTTTTGCCTCTGCTTCCCTAGGAAGGAGAATGTATATATGCACCACTACTCCTGTTGTGTGTGGTACTGGAGATTAAATTTTGTATATGCTAGTAAAGACTCAGACTACTACATCCTGAGCCCCTGTCTGCTGCCTCTCTATAATGTAAATTGTTTCAGATCTAGTTGATATAATATTTATAGTATCCAATAATTTATTATTTATTTTTTGTCTTTTTGTGACAGGGTTTCTCTGTGTGACCCTGGCTAACCTGGAACTTGCTCTGTAGACCAGGCCAGCCTCCAACTCACATCTGCCTGCTTCTGCCTCTTGAGTGCTGGGATTAAAGGCATGTGCTACCATGCCCAAATCTTTTTTTTTTTTTTTTTTTTGGTTTTTCGAGACAGGGTTTCTCTGTGGGTTTGGAGGCTGTCCTGGAACTCGCTCTGTAGACCAGGATGGCCCAGCCTTGAACTCACAGAGATCCGCCTGCCTCTGCCTCCCGAGTGCTGGGATTAAAGGCGTGCACCACCAACGCCCGGCTGCCCAAATCTATTTTTAAGTTGTGTAAATTGACTGCTTATACTTATAAGAGCTACAAAGTCAAACCAAACTAGTATGCCTATCACCTTAGATTATTTATTTAATGTGTATAATTATTTGCCAGTTCACCACCTTTGTGTGGGTACTCTGGAGGCTAGAAGACGGCATCAGTTCTTGGAACTGGAGTTAGCGGTGATTGTGAGCCACCTGTAGATGCTAGGAACTGAACTTGGGTCCTCTGTAAGGGCAGCCAGTGCTCTTAACTGCTGAGCCATCTCTCCAGCCCTTAACTGAATTTTTTTTGTATCAATCATCTTCTTCCGTTATATCCTCCAGCATTAAAATATTTTTAACTTTTATTTGCTGACAAGAGTTTTTCTTTTGAGACAGGATTTCTCTGTGTAGTCCTGGCTCTCCTAGAACTCGATCTGTAAACCAGGCTGGCCTTAAACTCCTAGAAATCTGCCTTCGTCTGCCTCCCCAGTGCTGGGATTAAAGCTGTACACCACCACTGCCCAGCTTTTTCTTTCTTTCTTACATTGCTGAATCTGGAATTAGATAGATTACCTGGGCTGGTCTCCATTGTCTCCGGTTTGCAGTCCTCCGGCCTTAACTTCCCAAGTGCTGGAATTCTAAATGTGGCTCTTCTAGCTTTTTAGCTTAGTTTTTCCTTTCTTTCTTCCTTCCTTCCTTCCTTCCTTCCTTCCTTCCTTCCTTCCTTCCTTCCTTTCTTTTTGGTTTTTGGAGACAGTTCTCTGTATTGTTTTGGAGGCTGTCCTGGAACTAGCTCTTGTAGACCAGGCTGGTTTGGAACTCACAGAGATCCGTCTACCTCTGCCTCCCGAGTGCTGGGATTAAAGGCGTGAGCCATCAACACCTGGCTTTTAGCTTAGTTTTTCATGTGGAATAAAAGCTAATCAATCATTGGTGTAGAAAAATGTGTGAGTCTTTTGTTGTGTCTAGTGTCTTGTGTAGTTTTAGCAATTATTTTCTGAAAATTTTATAATCTCTTCATGTAAAATAAAGTATCTATCTTTTCATAATGTTACCTAATTAGACCAGTGTTTCTTTCTGGTAGATAAACTTTGGTTTTGATAGATATCATAGGTTATAAACATAGTCTATCCAGCAACTCTAGAGTCCTTTGAATCACTTAACCCTTTTTCCCCTTTCTTCTCTCTTTTACTGATTCTTGTTTCTAGGCAGAAGGTTCTAAAAAGTACTGAAGAGCAGGAGTTGGAGAAGAGATTGAGAATGCAGCAGGAGGTGGTGGAGATGCGGAAAAAGAATGAGGAGTTCAAGAAGCTTGCTCTTGCAGGGCCAGGTCAGCTGCGCCTCTCTTGGGCCTTAACGAGGAGGGTGCTTCTTGGAATTTTGGTAGTATTTTTTGAGGTTTCTAAAGCAAAAACAACCAGTTTGAGTAGTCAGCATAAGACCATGTATTCATTTAAAACGGTGGCTGCAGGTTCGTCTTTCCCAGTGGTTACTTTCTCACCTGACTACCTACACCAGTGCTTTCTTGGAGCATGCGGTTCCTCTCTTGTGTGTTAGCAAAAGGATTGGGATACAGACAGACAGCCTGGCTGGGATGCCATTTCCTTCTTATCCTGAAGGTGGAGGATAAAAAAGAGCTCAGTGGCAGCTAGAAGAAAAAGAATGACTGAATGAAGAGCTCATGGACTTGCTTGGTCCTGAGATAGTGCTATTGGTGGCATCAAAGCCAGAGACCTGCTTACTGGATTGGAAAAACACTTTGGGGTTTATAGGGTCCCCTCTTAGAGATTCTGAGTTAAGTTTTACTTTTAAAGTCAGTCTATGTGGGTTGGATTCTCAGTGGTATGGAGTGTTGGACTACAGTTTCTGAGGCTCTGGGTTCCATCTGTAACACCATTTCAAAAAAGGGGTGAGGCCATGGTTTTATAGAGCAATTTGAATGACTGTCGTTCTTCAAAGCTATAACGACATCCTAGCAGCGTGCTCTTCTTCCTTACCTAGTTTGCATCTAAGCAAAGGACTTCAAACCCAATAGAACTCAACAAGCATAACACCTAGATCCATAGTAACAGAGATACAGAGAGGATTAGAGTTGTAAAGGTACTTACTAATGGTCTTTGTTCTTAATGTTAACTGTGTGTTTTATTCTGCTCCTCAGGGCAACCTGTGAAGAAATCTGTGAACCAAGTCACCAAAACAGTTGACTTTCACTTCCTCACAGATGAGCGAATCAAACAACATCCTAAGAACCAGGAAGAGTATAAGGAAGTGAATTTCATGTCTGAACTTCGAAAGCATCCTCCATCTCCTGTAAGTTGCCAGGTAACGGTGTTATTATTACTAGTATTCAGCTGTAGCATTTGTGGTCATTATTTATAGTAGGATGGTTGAGGGAGGCTTACTATTTGAATCAAGATAGATACAAACTCCCTGTGAACTGTGGCTATCAACAAATCACTCCTGGGAAAGCATATTACCACGTTTATGTAAAAATTAAGAAGGGACATGAAGCACATAAGATTATATGTGGCAAATTTGTAGAAGCTTTCTTTCTCCAATGCCCGAAGACTCAGGTGTAGAAGAGGTGTGGAGAGTATGACCCATCTCAAGTAAAGGACAATGGTGACTGCAAGTATGAGAATTTAGGGTCATCATTGCTTCTGGCGGTGCTCTGCTATTAAAACTGGACACACTAGGAGAGGTCTGCCCCAAGCCTAGATGGGTCAGGGAGTTTGCTGTGAGATTGTGTCTCCATAGAGTCTACCAACATGACTACTTAAACATGCTAAATAAGGACAATCACAATAGACATGCTAACACAGATGAGGGAAAGCTCAGGAGGCCTCTATACAAAGAATTACAAGTAACTCAGGAACTCTGAGAACTGGAGAAATAGTTTTCCCAGGGAAGAACACATCAATTGGTTATCTAACACAAAGGGTTAGCCCTGAAACATGCATACAAGTAACATTAATCAGACTGTCTTAGTTAGGGTGATTGTTGCTGTGATGAAACACCATGACAGAAACTTGGGAGGAAAGGGTTTGTTTGGCTTACACTTCCATACTTCCACAGCTCTGTTCATCATTGAAGGGAGTCAGGGCAGGAACCTGAACGCAAGGAGGCAGGAGCTGATTCAGAGGCCTTGGAGGGGAGCTGCTTACTGGCTTGTTTCCCCTGGCTTGCTTAGCCTAGGGCCACCAGTCTAGGGATGACACCACCCACAATGGTCTGGACCCTCCCCCACCAATCATTAATTAAGAAAAAAAAATTGGATCTTATGGAAGTATTTTCTTTTTGTTTTTGTTTTTTTTTTGGTTGTTTGCTTTTGTTTGTTTGTTTTTAAGATTTATTAATTATGTAGTATTCAGTCTGCATGTACATCTGCAGTCCAGAAGGGGGTGCCAGATCTCACAACAGATGGTTGTGAGCCACCATGTGGCTGCTGGGAATTGAACTCAGGACCTTTAGGAAGAACAACCAGTGCTCTTAACCTCTGAGCCATCTCTCCAGCCTGTTTGTTTGTTTTGAGGCAGAGTTTTTCTATGGCTCTGGAGGCTGTCCTAGAACTAGCTCTTGTAGACCAGCCTGGTCTCGAACTCACAGAGGTCTACCTGCCTCTCTGTCTACCAAGTGCTGGGATTAAAGGTGTGCACCACCACAGCCCGACTGGAAGCATTTTCTCAATTAAGGTTCCCTCCTTTCAGATAACTCAAGCTTGTGTCAAGTTGGCATAAGAATAGTCAGCACACAGACTGAGTAGGTTATATATAGAAATATATATGTATGTATGTAACAACAGTTGATGAAGAAAGAGGCCATATATCTGAAAGGGGAGGTATATATGGGAGACTTTGGAGGGAGGAAAGAGAAGGGGAAATGATGTAATTATAATGTCAGAAAAAAAAGAAATAAGTCTAGAGCCAAGTGAACATAGTGACACCTAGTTTAACCTGCAAGACACATTAGCTGATTGATAAAGGAGATTAGGATAGAACCAGGGGTTAGTTACTGGCATAAAGGTTTTAGGACCTGTTCTTTCAAAACCTTAATAAACATCAAATCTAGAAAAAAAAATCTTTAAAAAAGAAGCCTGTTGCCTACAATGTTGCATCCAAGACCCATCAGAGCTTATGTAAAAACGGGTTGGCACAGACCTCTCATGTTGTGTTTGGCTTTTTGTTTTGTTTTTCAGGTTTTTTTTTTTTGTTTTGTTTTGTTTTGTTTTTCGAGACAGGGTTTCTCTGTAGCTTTGGAGGCTGCCCTGGAACTCGCTCTGTAGACCAGGCTGGCCTCGAACTCACAGAGATCCACCTGCCTCTGCCTCCCGAGTGCTGGGATTAAAGGCGTGCGCCACCAACGCCCGGCCAGTGTTTTTTTCTTGTTTTTGTTTTTTTGTTTGTTTTTAGAGACAAAAGTTTCTCTGTGTAGTCCTGACTGTCTTGAAACTTGCTTTGTTGACCAGGCTGGCTTTCAACTTGTAGAGCTCCCCTGCCTCTGCCTCCCTGAGTGCTAGGACTAAAGGTGTGTATCACCACTGTTCTGATTTTTTTTTAAAGAGTAGTAGGTACTCTTAACTGTAGAGCTATCTCTCCAGCCAGTTTTTTGTTTTGTTTTGTTTTAGGCAGGGTCCCATTTATTTTTATGCTTTCCTCAAACTCACTGTGTAGCTGAAGATGATCTTTGAACTCCTGATCCTCCTGCCTTCACCTCTCCAATAATGGGATGGTGGGTGTGCACCACCACTCCTGACTTAAAGCAAAATTTTATTTTTAAATACTTTTAATACTTATTTTTTTTATTGTTTATGTATGGACCTGTGTCTCATGAGTATATGCCATGTGTGTGAGGGTGATAGCAGAGGTTAGAAGAGGGATCACCACCCTGGCAGCTGGAGTTCGCGGTGGCTGTGTGAGCCACTTGGTATGGGTGCTGGGAATTGAACTTGGGTCTCCTGGAAGAACAACAGGTGTTTTTAACCACTGGGCCACTTCTCCAGTCCCCCTCCAATTTTTATTTATTTTATGTGTACATGTGTTTTGTCTGCATGAATGTCTAGACATCGTGTATAAGGCTGGTGCCCCCAGGTCCAGTTTTCTTAGCAGAGCATCACCAGAAGCAATGATGGTCCCAAGTCAGCATTCCAGAACTCGTGAGCTGCTCATGTTTGTAGTCACCATTGTCCTTTATTTGAGATGAAGCAGTGCTCTGTGCCTGGTCTTGAGCCAGTCTTAAAGCCTGGATTTGTTGCTGCCTCTTTAGAATTGTGCCCATGAGTTTCGCCTCCATTCAAAGTTAGTGATCCAGCCAGACCTAGTGGTGCCTGACTTAAACCCTAACACTGGGAAGGCAGATGATGTCTTGTGAGTTACAGGCTGCCTGGTCTACAGAGTTGAGTTCCACACCAGCCAGGGGTAAAGAGAGAGACCTTATTAAAAAATCTCACTAAAATTAGATGAAAAGTTAATGATCCACAGTGGGGCAGACTTTTGTGTCGATTAGTTTGAGGGTGTAAGTGAAGAAAGCTAAGTTACCCTTCTGCTTGACCTGATGCAGACCCAGCAGTCCATGCCAGTTTTGTATGTGTGGTTTTACCTTTCCTCTCTCCTTCCCTTTGAATTCTAAGAAAACTTGCTCTTGGTTGGTTAAAAGCATTATATACTTGGGGAAACTCCATATGCACTATTGCAAAACAATCTCCTAACTGCCAGATCTTTCAAAAGAAACATGACGACATGTTTGATGTATGATGTATGATTAACCCTTGCTGAATCCTGGCTCAGAGCCTGTGCTGCCTCTGTGGCTGGTGGTAGAGTACATTTCATTTGCTGAACAACTTTTCTCTTCACAGGCCCGAGTGACTAAAGGATGCACCATTGTTAAACCTTTCAATCTGTCCAAAGGAAAGAAAAGAACATTTGACGAAACAGCTTCCACATATGTGCCCATTGCACAGCAGGTTGAAGCCTTCCACAAACGGACCCCTAGTAGATATCATCTGAGGAATAAGAAGGAAGAGAGTGAGTTTCCTCCCAGTACCTTGGTGGCCAGCACCTATTCTCCAGTCCCAGGCACAGCAGCGGCGATTGTTCAAAGGGCGATAGGAGAGTGAGGTGGATGAGTACAAATGCTGATGAGTTTGTGTAGGTTTGGTGGAGGACAGATGGAAGGATTTTAGTTGTTTCTGTATTTATGAAAGTAATTTCTGCAAGAAGATAAAGTCTACAGATTGAAGCCAGGCAGTGGTGACACATGCCTTTAATCCCAGCACTTGGGAGGGAAAGGCAGGTGGATCTCTGTGAGTTTGAGACCAGCCTGGTGTACAGAGCTAGTTCCAGAGCAGTCAGGACTACACAGAGATACTCTGTCTTGAAAACAAACAAATGAAAAAGAAAGAAAGAAAATAATGTAAGATGTCTCATCAGGAGATAACGGTTAAATGGGGTTGTTGGTACATGCTTGTAATCCCAGCATTTGGGAGGCTGGGGCTCAAGGCCAGCTTGGTCTAAATAGTGATTTCAAGGCAGCAGGGGCTACAAAGAACCCAGACTCAAAACAAAAATAAATATGGCTAGTATTTTGGGTAAAACAGGATGTATTTTTGAGCTACCTAAAAAATTTCCTCTCCTGTTAGGCAGCATTTAGCACTTTGTTTTAGGTGGCAACATGGGTTACTTTAAATGCAGTATTTCTCTGTTTTCTTTTTGTAGTGCTGGGGATTCAGCCTAAGGCCTTGTGCATGCTGGGCAAGCACTCGACCAGTTTACTACATTCTCAACCCTAACTAGTGTTTAAGATTGCTACTATATTCTGACTTTTTTGTTGTTTTGTTTTTTTGCTTTTTGTTTTTGTTTTTTGAGACAGGGTTTCTCTGCACTGTTTTGGAGGCTGTGCTGGAACTTGCTCTGTAGACCAGGCTGGCCTCAAACTCACAGAGATCCGCCTGCCTGTGCCTCCCCGAGTGTTGGGATCAAAGGCGTGTGCCACCAATGCACGGCTATTCTGACATTTTATATTAGGAAAATAGTGATTTTTTTTTTTATCTTCATGGAATTAAGTTCTCACCTAGCCAAGGCTTCATAGTCAGATTCAGTTTCAAAAAAGAATCTAGTAAATGAATTAGATAATTAATTTTTCTCACTGTTATATAAAGTCTAGACAGAAGAATTCGTTTTAAGTAATTATGAAAATTGTCAGGTTTGTTACTGGCCTGAGGGAAATCAATACCCTCTGTGAGTGGTGGTAATGCTCTAAATCAGCAGTTCTTATGGGTCATGACCTCTTTGGAGGTCAAATGACCTTTTCACAGAAGTCACCTAAGGCCATTGGGAAAACCACACAGATATTTGCATAACCGCTAATAACTGTAGCAAAATTACAGTTATGAGGTAGCAACAAAAATAACTTTATAATAGTTGGGGGTTACCACAACATGAGGAACTGTATTGAAGGGCTGCAGCACTTAGGAAAGTTGAGAACTGCTGCTCTAAATACTGATGTGTTGGAACAGTTGTTCTTGCTCTTGTTGTCTGTCTGCCTCTAACTTTCCCCAGTTGACTGACTGACTTTGCTCCTTTACCTCCCTGTTTGGTGTAGCTATAGTGAGATGGGTTTGAAAGTTGAAATGTAGCCTAGGTTGGGCATCAACTATTGATCTTCCTGCCTCAGCTTCCTAAATTCTAGGATTACAGGCATGTACCACCATGCCTGACTTTACCATTGACTTGCTGTGAGTGGTGGCCTGCATGCTTTGATCCGAATGTTTGTTGTGAAATTCATAAAGTTGGAAATTACTCACTGGTTTGTAAAGGTTTGGTATCTTAAAACTATAATAAGCCAGGCGTTGGTGGCGCAGGCCTTTGATCCCAACACTCGGGAGGCAGAGGCAGGCGGATCTCTGTGAGTTCGAGACCAGCCTGGTCTACAGAGTGATTTCCAGGACAGCCTCCAAAACAATACAGAGAAACCCTGTCTCGAAAAACCAAACCAACCAACCAAACAAACAAACAAAAACCTATAATAAAAACATTGTCAGCAATCAGCAAAATAGCTGGTATTGTCAGTAGAAATGCAGTGAGCAGCTAGGACCCCCATCAGGCGTGGCTAGATTTTAGGTGCAGAGATGGCAGAAGAATTTGCCCTTCAGTAAGAATGGTAGGAGGAAGGGAGGGAACATTTGTAGGTTGAGTGGCATAGGCTGAGTTGAGTACACAAAGCCAGGCACTCCTCTTTGTCCATTTTCTATCTGGTTGGGTCAGCACTTGAGGGTGAACTGGATCTTGGGGAGCTAAGCAAACATCTGTGATTTTGCTTTACAGACTTGTTACCCTCCAGATCTGTGACCAAGCTCTCAAGAGATCCCCAGACTCCCATCCTGCAAACCAAATACCGTGCAAGGGTTGTGACCTGCAAAAGTACAGCAGAGCAGGAGGCCGAGGAGCTCGAGAAGCTGCAGCAGTGAGTCCCACGCGCATGTCCGAGGGAGCCTAGTAGAACTGCCTGTTGGCTTTCAGCCCTGCAGGGCAGTGGCTGTCCCTTTCCTTCTCATGGTGGCTCTATAGACTGTTCCTGTCTCTGTGGCTGAAAGTGGGAATATGGAGGTGCCCTGGAGCATAACCTGACGAAAATTCAATGCAGAAGTGGGGGTGGCAGAACTTAATTTTGTATTCCAATTGAGAAATAAGGTTAGTTTAGGTAGACCTTACCTCTTCCTGACTATCAAAGGAGTTTTACAGCTTTACCTCTAGAAAAGGCTGGAACTTAGTGTAGACAGCACTGAAGCTTGTCTGCCTAGATCTTCTCTGATCGTTGCCTTTTTAAAAAAAATAATTTATTTAACTTTATTTTATGTGCATTGGTATGATGATGTCAGGTTTCTTGGAATTGGGTTTTTTTTTTTTAATTTTATTGTATATTTATGGGAGTTTTGTCTACATGTAGTGTCTGTATCACTGGTATGCCTGGTGCCCAGGAGATCCAGAAGAGGATGTCTAAATCCTCTGGGACTGGAGATGATTACAGATGGTTGTTTGCTGTGGGTGCTGGGAACTGAGGTTTTTTGGAGTAGCAGCCAGTGCTTTTAGCCTCTGATCCAGATTTCCAGCCCCAAACAAGAGTTTCTGGTCTCCTGTCTCTGTCTACCTGCTGAATGCTAGGACTACAGCTGTTTGACATCATGGAACCCCAAGCCTCCAAATTCCCACCTGCCTCTTTACTCTTCTTGGGAGGTGAAGAAGAGGTGGAGAGATCTTGCTGTGTATAGTGGATCATTTTATCGCTTATTTATAAGTTTTGTTCTATCTATATTGTGTAATTTTTATTTATTAAAAAGCCTTTTGTATTATCTAAATTGCCTCCTTACAGATATAAATTCAAAGCCCGAGAACTTGATCCAAGAATTTTTGAAAGTGGACCCATCTTGCCCAAGAGACCTCCTGCTAAACCTCCCACTCAACCTGTTGGTTTTGATTTGGAAATTGAAAAACGAATTCAAGAGCGAGAGTCAAAGAAAAAATCAGAGGACGAACACTTTGAGTTTCATTCCAGACCTTGCCCTACTAAGATCTTGGAGGATGTCGTGGTAAGAATACTTGAGGTGTGGGTGCTGGCACATGGCTAAAAATCTGCCCATTCACAAATGTTCAAGTTGGTACTATGAACTGAGATGACAAAAAGATCCAGCACAACTGAATTTTGGTCTTAGGACTTCAAGTCTAGTAAGAGTCAATATGTGGGTAAAAATACAGACTCAGAAGGATGTGTTCTGAAAAGAGATGTAGTCTTTTGGATTTGTTTTGTTTTGTTTGGTTTTGGTTTTGGCATTGGTATTTCGAGACAGGGATTCTCTATGGAACAGACCTGACTGTCCTAGAACTCACTCTGTAGACCAGGCTGGCCTCAAACTCACAGAGATCCACCTGCCTCTACCTCCCAAGTGCTGAGATTGAAAACGTGCACCACCACCTCCCAGCAAGTGCTGTAGTTTAAAGGTCTGCAGAAGTTGGAGGGAAGCTCCTGGGCTTGTGGAGAAGGCAAACTTTGATGATGTGCAGCAAAGGTGACAATTTTGTGTTGTCATTGTGTTGCTGTAATGGCTGACACATGTCCCTTTTCATATGGAGTTATCCTTCGGTATCTGCAAGATTGGTTTTGGAACTTGCATGAATACACAAGATCTGTAAATGTTCAAGTCTCATAAAATATAAACTAGTACATCATACACGATTTAAATAATTAATTCTTGTTTTGAGATGGGGTCTTGCTTTGTTGCTCAGGCTTGTCTTAAACTTCTAGGATCCAAATAAATTTAAAATAAAAAAAACAAAAACTTCTAGGATCCAGAGATGGCCTTGTATCAGCCTCCTGGTAGTCAGGACTGTAAAAATCATGCCATTGTGCTGGCTTACTGTATGTCCTTTCGTTTTGCTTGTTTTAGAGTCAGCCATGAGTGAAACTGATATATTACCTCTGGGCATTTTGTTTATTCCATTCCTTGTGTTAAACCAAAAGGAACTTCAAGTTGTACTTCCAAGGCTTTATAAAAATCGTGATTGTACCTAGAAATAACCATCATTTCCTCTTAAACTGAAAGCTTTCCTTTTCTTTCATATGGCAGCCCTGCTCCCCCCTAACATGTGTGAGCGTGCGTGAGTGAGTGAGTGTGTTTGTGCCCAAGGAAGGTATGACTGAATCTGAGGGGTCCTGAAGGAGAGTGCTGTCTTACCAGTTGTTTTTCAGAATTCTCTGGAGCTCTTCTTATATAAACAGATTACCAGCCCTTGGCATTCTGATTTGCTGAGTTCAGGTCAGAGAGATCTCAGGGGAACAATTAGATCATGTTGATAATAGTGATACTATATGATGTGACAGGGTTCAAGCAGAGGGGTTTTTATTAGGAAAAGGGATAATAAAAAAGGGGAAAGGGAAGGGGGGAGACTGACCTCCAGAGACAGGAGCAGCAGGAGAGAGAGGGGGGGGGGAGGGAGGGAGGGAGGGAGGGAGAGGGGAGAGGGGAGAGAGAGAGAGAGAGAGAAGAATAGGAGGTGGGCAGGGCCCTTTTAAAGGACAACAGAGTAAATATGCACATGTGATGCTCTAATGGTTGTAGCTGAGTGTATCAGAACCCCAAGGGTAGGCCTGAATTAGTACCTCTTAGTGCTGGTGTTGTCCTGAGGTGTTTCGTTTTTGTTTTGAGTCAGGCTCTCACTATGTAGCCCTAGCACATAAAAGAGATGTTAGATGTATTCTTTTTTCTCTTTCTCTCTCTCTTTCTTTTTTCTTCCTCTCTCTCTCCCTCTCTTCCTCCCTCCCTCCCTCCCTCCCTCTCTCTGTCTCTCTGTCTCTGTCTCTGTCTCTCTCTCTCTCTCTCTCTGTTTTAGAGACAGGTCTCTCAATGTAGTCTTGAGTTTTTTTAAAAAGGGTAAGGCCACATACCCTTTTTATTTATTTATCTATATATTTATTTTGGTTTTTTTTTTTCGAGACAGGGTTTCTCTATATTGTTTTGGAGACTGTCCTGGAACTAGCTCTCATAGACCAGGCTGGTCTCAAACTCACAGAGATTCGCCTGCCTCTGCCTCCCGAGTGCTGGGATTAAAGGCGTGAGCCACCAACGCCTGGCTCGCATACCCTTTTTAAAGCTGAGTTTTCTGAAAAAAATGAAATAGAAAATAACATATCTAAGCCAGTGTGGTGGTGCACGTCTTTAATCCTAGCATGTGGGAGGCAAAGGCAGGTGGATCTCTGTGAGTTCTGGGCCAGCCTGGTCTACAGAGTGAGTTCCAGGACTGCTTCACAGATAAACCCTGTCTCGAATAAACCAAAACAAACAAACAAGCAAAAAAAAAACCTTTAAAAAGTTGATTGTAGAACCAAGATGAAGTTTCTTAACTTTTAGATCTAGAGTTTTGAAGCATAGCTGAAGAGCCTGTCTCTCAGAGGCTGCTGCAATGTGGGTCTGCTGCTTCCTACCAGCTTTCCCAAGTGACAAAACTCTGCTCCTGTGTGCCCTTACAGGGCTGCAGGAGAGACAGTGAGCATGCTGTTCTGCTTGTGGTAAAAAGAGGAACAATTAAAGCCCCTGAGAAGTGGCCATGCAGACAATTTGCAGAGGGAACCAAGGAGAAGGGGATTTTCTTTTCTTTGTTTTACACCTTTGATTAACAGGTGGTAAAGAAGGAAAAAGATGGGCCCAAGTAGCAGAGAGCATGAGGCAGAGTTGAAGAATGCCTCTTGGGGCAGAGGTAGTATGATGGTAGCCTTGAGTATGATGTGTGGAATGGGAACTTGCTGCTGATACCTGGTGGTTAGCACACCATGGATGGGCTTGCAGTGTCAGGACCCCAAAGATCATTTCTTACAGAACATCCTTTGCTTTCTTACATTATGAGGCGTGATTTCGTTGCAAACTGTGGCTTCTGCTTAGGGGTTTCTTTGCTCCTCGTATACTGCAGGCACCGAACCACTCTCACTATATCCCTTGGTTAGATGCAGAGGTTTAAAAAAAAAAATGAAAAGAGGGGGGTATTTAGAACTAAATGAGTCCTTAGATATTAAATTATTTTGTTTCATAAAAACTTGTGGCCTAGGAAGCTGTTGATGTGCCTGCATGCAGGTGGGAAGCCCAGTTGGACTAGAGCAGATCCCTGACTTCCCAAACTTTATTCCCATGTCACATAGTCCTGGTGCAGTTCTCCACAAAGTGGTGCTGTTCATCTGTCCAGGACTTAACAACGGCAGATTTTGTTGTAGTAAGAATGTAACTCCAGTTTCAGGGGACCTGAAACCTATGGCAAAACACTAGTGCACATTAAAAAAAAACTTAAATGTGTTGTGCCCAAGTTGTAAAGTCCCCAGAGACCACCAGGAAGACCCACCAAACTGCAAAAGCAAGGTTGTTCATCAACCATGACGGGGACCCCCGTCTAGCAAGCTGATACAGCAGCCTCCAGAGGGAGTGAAGTTCCCTGTCTATTGTTGAGTTTTGTTTTGTTTTGTTTTTTGTTTTTTTACGAGACAGGGTTTCTCTGTATTGTTTTGGAGGCTGTCAGTTCAGCCTGGCCTCGAACTCAGCGATCCGCCTGCCTCTACCTCCCGAATGCTGGGATTAAAGGCGTGCACCACCACCGCTCGGCTATTGTTGAGTTTTAAAGGCAAAAGTTACAGGATTACATCAGTAGGTATGGGTTAGTTTCTGATTGGTTGACGTTTGGGTACAATTAGGAGCATTTTTTAAAGTCATATTTTGGCATGAAATGCCTGTGTACCAATTATTTTCATTGGTCAGTGCTGAGAGGGAACATTCTGTGTTCTGTGGTTTTTATGGCATTGACTTGTTACTTGTAGTTGGCCGGTTGTACATAGATACCACTAGTTTTCAGAGCTATATCCTGGAGACTACAGAGGAGGTTTTGGTCCCCCTGGAGTTTCTTTTGTGGCTAAACAGTTCCCAGGAACCAAGCATCTAGGAGGCTGGGGGAGGGGAGTCTGGAGTTTCTTTGTGTTCAGTTTTGTCCCTAGACTCTGAGAAGCCAGAGGATATGGAGTTTCCTTGTATCAGAGGCCTACGTGTCTTTTCTGTAGCCTGTCATGGGTACTAAAGCAGGGGGCTGAGTGAGCGTCTGGTCCCTTTATTTCTAAATTATTAAAAGTAAAGCCTTTGAGTTTAATTTACCCGTTTCAAAATGAATCATGTGAGCATATTAATACAAAGATTGCTGACTAGATTTCCTGTGTTAGTGATAGCAGTCTTTAGAAAACAGAAATTCTGGGGCTAGAAGGGTAACTGAAGTTCAGAGCACCTGTGACTCTTGGAGGGCCTGAGTTCATTCCAGCATCCACCAGGTGGTTCCCAGCCATATGGCTCTAGTCCCAGCGTATCCAGTGCTCTCTTCTGATCTTCCCTGGTACCAGGCATGCATATGGTGCACATACATACATGTAGACAAATACCTCATACACATAAAATAAAAAATAAGTACAATAAGTTTTGCTTGCACAGTCAACTCTAATATCTGTGAATTCAACTAATGGATAGAAAAATATTTAGGAAAAACTACATTTGTACTGATCATGTGCAAACTTCTTTCCTTGGCCAATATTCCCTATATAATATGATAAATTCATATAATAAAATCATAATATGATAGAATAAATGTATTCAACACACTTTCATTTTATTGGGTATTACTCATAGTATACTATTGACAGACTACGTGAGAGGATATACATAGGTTACAGGCAAATACTGCACCGTAATATGTGCATGCTCAAATACTACACATCTGTCAGTTTTCGTTTCCATGAGTGGGGCTTCTATGATGCTGACAGCTGTTGTCTTTGCATATGAATGTCTTGAAGGCATTTTAATTTCCCTTTTTTGTTTTTGTTTGTGTCTGTGTTATTTATATAAGAGTGTTAATCCTTGCATATTCATGTAGAGGCCAGAGGACAACTTTGGGAGTCGATTCTCTCCTTCCACCGTGGGTTATGGGTTCAAACACAGGTCAGGCTTGTCAGCAAGTGCCCACTCATCTGTGTTTTTTCTTCCTAGCCTGGGTTTTAGTATTTCATGTAGTGTACTAGAAATTGAAATTATTCTGGGATGTCTAATTGAGTTGTGTACTCCTTCTAGGGTGTTCCTGAAAAGAAGGTAATTCCAGCCACTGTCCCCAAGTCACCAGTGTTTGCATTGAAGAACAGGATCCGCATGCCCACCAAAGAAGAAGAGGTGACTCCCTGGGAGGAGGGTCTCTTCTTTTCCTTCTGCATCATCAATCAGAGTCTTAACCACTCTTCACAATTACAGGGCCCAAAGGCAATCAGATCTTGTCTGGCGTTTTCTGTGAGAATGATGTGAATGTTCTATCATCTGTTTTGTTCCTCTGAGAGCAAATGGGAAGGTGTGACTCTTGGCATTCAGTGACAGCGGGTTACAGTCTATGAAAAAAGCACTAAAGGCTTGTTCATTCTCTAGCATTGATCATGCTGTCTTTGTAACATGGTTAAGAGTTCCCTGAGTTGTAAAGAGCATTCTTCCCGCCAGCCTGTTCCCAGAGCTGCATCAACCCCAAATAACACACAGAGACTCTATTAATTAGTTACAATGCTGTGGGCCAATGTCCAGGGCTTCTCATTGGCTAGTTCTGTCTTAAGTATTAACCCATGACTACTAATATATGTTTCTATAAGGCCTTATCTTTCCGAGGACGCCAACCTGATGTGTCCTCACTTCCTGGGATTACATGTCGACTCACTATTCTTGACTGCATTTCCCAGGATCCTCCTCGACTCTTAGTCCCACCTATCTTGCTTCCCTATTGGCCAACAGTGCTTTATTTATCAACCAATAAGACAAATATAAACACAGAAGGACTTCCCCCATCACTGAGTTATTGTCACTGTTCAGTGAGGGACTTTAAAAACTTATACTAAGCAGTTACATTGTCTTGTCCTTGATACCCAAGGATCACAAAGGTGACTGGGGGTGCTGATTCATGGGACTATAAAATGTGAACTGTCATTGATCATGCTAGCTTATTATTATATCTCCTATTTTATCTATAAATATCCAGAGTTACGGTGATTTTAAAGCAGATCTCAGTATAAACCTTTTTATAAGTTCAGTTGAAACTGAAATACATGGTAATCTTATGTTAGCTTGAACCCAAACAGCTAACTTGGTCCTGTTCTGGGTATGGCAACCATTAATTGCAATCACATGTGTTCGTAAGGTCTGGAGTCTGAGTCAGAATCTAAGGTGTAAGTATACTTACTTAGTACCTTCTGCTCTTCATTTTGGCTGTCTGATCTCACTAGTTATTCTAACATTCTTGTGAGAAACGAGATTTTTCACGAGTAAGTGTCTTAGTCACTTACAAATGCTTTTACATTGCTTTGACCCATGATGTGGTAGCTGAATTGGCATTGTCCATCTTTGACAGAAAATGAAACTAGTCTTCCTTAGTCACACCTAAGGCAGTAGGGCCTTGCATTAATCAGTGGATTATCTCATACAGTGCCTTCTGAGTCCACAGTCTGAGGTGGGTGGGTGGGAAGACATGAAGAGCCTCGTTTCTGAGTGTAGTTTCTCTCTTAGGAAGAGGATAAACCAGTTGTGATACGAGCTCAACCTGTTCCACATTATGGGGTGCCTTATAAGCCCCATATTCCAGAGACAAGAAACGTAGAGGTGTGCCCTTTCTCCTTTGATACCCGGGACAAAGAGCGCCAGTTGCAGAAGGAGAAGAAAATAAAAGAAATGCAGAAAGGGGAGGTAGGTGTCTCATTTCTGTAATTTACAAAATACTATTCTTTGATCCCTCAAAGGGAACCTTTTTTCCCATTTGTTTGTTTGTTTTGAGACAGTGTCTTGCTGTGTACCCCAGACTGGCTTTGAATCTGTGGTTGTCCTCCTGCCTCTGCTTCCCAAGTACTGGGCTTACAGGCATGTATCATCATACCTCACTTAGGAAAGAAACTTTTAAATAAAGTTACTAAATATATGAAAAATTGTAAAAACTATGTATACCTTTTATATAAAATTACTATTAAATTATTGCTTTCTACTGATGCCTGCAAGACCCCCTATGAAATATGTATTGGACAAGAAACTTTAGTAATCTATCTGGCACAAGGAGGCTAATGACTGCCAGTTTTGGAAGTATTTGGAAAATTTAGGTTTTTTGGGGGGGCATCTAAAAAGATCCATTGCTTCGCTAGGCCATGCTGCTTTGAAAACTGACTTCCTGTCTTTTAGGTTCATGCACATATTCAAGAGCAAATACTGCTTTATCTTTGTCTCAGTTTGCTTTCTATTGTGGTGATTAAATACCAGGACCAAAAGCAACTTGGGAAGAAGTTTCTTGTTTGGCTATGTTTTCTCAGTTGAAGTTTCCTCTTCCCAGATAACCCAGGCTTGTGTCAGGCTGACAAAATTCTTACGGCATATTTGCTAAGAGGCTCTTTTTGGCTCTGTTTGACTTTTGAGATGTTGTCTCACTGTGTAGTGTAGGAGGGTGTTGATCTCCTGCTTCCCTGGAAGTCTGGGCTTATAGATGTGCATTGCCATGTCTGGCAAGAGTTCCTTATAAGCTTTTGTGATCAATCTATTTTATTCAGAGACTTGAAGGTGGGAGGCACCGAGTCGTTAACAGGATCTGATGTCCTCTGTGGGATAGGCTTTCTTGTTTTCCCCATTGATCAAAGTTCCTTATAATACTCTTATGTTTGTTTTCCCATCAGGTGCCCAAGTTCAAGGCACTTCCTCTGCCCCAGTTTGACACTGTTAACTTGCCAGAGAAAAAGGTAAAGAGTGTGACTCAAGCTGAGCCCTTCTCTCTGGAGACAGACAAGAGAGGTGCCTTTAAAGCTGAGGTGTGGAAGCACCAGGTAGGATTGGGGAGCAGCTGAAATGTGGCTGGTTGGTTGGTTGATGGATTGGTGGGTGTGTAGGTGAGTGGGCAGGCCTACGCTGTCTACACTGAAATCATCTGGGATGACAGACTTGGTTATGTGAATATATTCTATGCAAACCAGTACTCACATCACTTTTTCTGTGAAAGGTCAAGTAGTATTTATTTTAGGTTTTATAGGTTTTACATATGACTTCTGTCAGATATTCTCTCTCCCTGCTTGCTCCCTGTAAGTGTATTTGAACATATAAAGACTATTCTTAGTTCAAGTTGTAGTTGGCCAGGAGGCTGAATTTGCTCGCTTCTGCCTTAGCAGTCACCTGGTAATGCAAGACTCCTTCTTAGTCAAGAGGGTCTATAACTCCTTTCTCATCTATTTCCTTAAGTTGGCAAAAAACAGGATGAGAGGATTGGCTCTCAATAAGACAGGCTGTGTTTTCAGCATGGTATGTGATATAATTGCTCTTTATATATCATAATAGGTGATTAAAGACAAATGATGGAATTATAGGTTGGTATAACTGCCATCTAATTTTGCCACTATCACTAGTCTCTGTCTTTCCTCAAAACAAAAACTGGCTGTGATCTAATTGAGCCTCTGGGTCTAACTACTCACTTATAGGAAATAAAGGGATAGGAAGTGCCATTTTTTTAAACTTTATTTTATGTGCATTGATGTGAAGGTGTCAGATCTTCTGCAACTGGAGTTATAGACAGGTGTGAGCTGCCATATGGGTGCTGGGAATTGAACCCAGGTCTTTTGGAAGAGCAGCCAGCGCTCAGGAAGTGCTGTCTTTTTTAATGAGGCAGTCCAGAACCTGCTGCTGTGGTCATCTGTCTGACAGACTTTCCTTCTAACAGCTGGAGGAAGAACTGAAACAGCAGAAGGAAGCCGCTTGCTTCAAGGCTCGTCCAAACACCGTCATCTTCCAAGAGCCCTTTGTTCCCAAGAAAGAGAAGAAATCAGTTGCTGGTAGTATTTTATGTGCTATTGGGGGTTGGGACAGAATGTCAAACTTTGCAGGGGATGATGCTAAGCCTTGCTATGTCAACAAGAAATGTTTTATCTGAGAGGATGGTAGCTTTCTTCCCTTGGATCCAGGCTTCGGCTCTTGGTGGAGCCAGGACCTCCCTTAAGTTGTTGAGTGTGTTGGGGCAGACAGGTAGAACTGTAGTCTTGACAGAAGCAACTGGCCTTTCGGCGACAGTCACAGGCTGTCCACACCCAAGAGTGGAGCATTTATTTGGGGTGCTTGGATTTCTTAGGCATTGGCTAACTTGTCAGAAGTTGGGATTCTTCTCCTTCTGTGTTAAAATTCCTGTGTGGGAGAGCAGCAGATAGTGTTGAGCAAGCTATGTCACCTCTCTGAGTCTTGCTTTTGTCTCACTGACACCGAATGGCTTCCAGAGGCCTTTCTAGCTCCCGGCCTTCTGAGTTTGCAGTGGGACTTTACTCCACACTTCTTCCTTGGTAACTTTTTGGTGCTAGCCCTGTCTTTCCACCTGGCCTAGTCCTGGGGACTGAGGCTTTTGGAGTCCTGCATGTGCATCAATGTTGTCTCTGTTTCTATGCTCAGAGAACCTGTCTGGTTCTCTAGTTCAGGAGCCCTTTCAACTGGCCACCGAGAGGAGAGCCAAGGAGCGGCAGGAGTTGGAAAAGAGAATGGCTGAAGTAGAAGCCTGGAAAATGCAGCAGTTGGAGGAAGTTAGACAACAGGAAGAGGAACAGAAAAAGGAGGAGCTAGTCAAGCTCCGGAAAGAACTGGTAATCAGCTGGGCAGCATTGTTTTGTTTTCTGGTGGAGCTGGGACCAACTATTCATATCCACCTTGACAACCACAAGAATGGGGAACAGTGGTCTCTCCTAGACACATCAGCCTCTGCTTTGTCAGGGTTTTTTATTTTAATTTTGTGTTTTTCAGGTACCTGAGTTTGTTCCCAGTATAAATCTGTTTCTTACAGCAGTTCTCAGTGTAGGCCACTGGCAACACCTTAAGCACAATTAATTAGTGCTGCTTATCACTGTATTAAATTGGCTCCCTCTAAGATTGATCTTACACTCTTCATGAGGATAGCCAGTACCGTGTCTCCCCAGAAGCCCTTTCTGATGATTGCTCTTTCGCTTTTTGTTTTGGACTGATTTTGTTTAGATATGAATGTTTTGACTGCCTATGTGTCTGTGAACCATTTGCATGGAGTACCCATGGAAGCTAGAAAAGGCATCAGATCTCCTTTTTTAAAATATTACATTTATTTCTTTAAATTTTTAAAAGATTTGTTTATTAATTTACGTATATGTTTTGCTTGCATGTGTGCATATCCACCATGTGTGTGCCTGGTGCCCTCAGAGGTCAGAGGGGGGAGACAGATGCCCTGGGACTAGGGTCACAGATGATTGTGAGCCACCATGTAGGTGGTGGGAATTGAACCCAGGTCCTCTAGAAGAGTAATCAGTGCTTAACCATTGAACCATTGCTCCAGCCCCTGGCACATTTTTTTAAAATTGAATTTTAAAATTTTACATGCCAGCCACAGTTTCCCCTCCCTCTTCTCCTTATAATTCCTCCCCCACCTGCTTTCTAGCCTCTCCCGCCCCAATCCAATCCTTAGAAAGGATAAGGCCTCCCAAGGGAATCAACAAAGCATGGCATATCAAGTTGAGGCAGGACCAAGCTCCTCCCTCTGCATCAAGGCTGAGTGAGGGGGAGGTGTTCCACCATAGGGAACAGGTTCCAAAAAAGCCAGCACCGTTTTTTTGTTTTGTTTTGTTTTTGTTTTTTGTTTTTGGATTTTCGAGGCAAAGTTTCTCTGTGGCTTTGGAGGCTGTCCTGGAACTTGCTCTGTAGACCAGGCTGGTCTCGAACTCACAGAGATCTGCCTGCCTCTTCCTCCCGGATGCTGGGATTAAAGGCGTGCACTACCACTGCCTGGCCCTGGCACCATTTTTTAACTTGTGACTTTGTCTGCTATAATTGAAAAGGGCTCTGTTACTCTCCCTAGTAAGTTACACTGAGAATAAGCTTGGCATTCTTAGTGAGGGCCCAGTGAGCAACAGTAGAAACCTGTTGGGGACCATACTTGGTCATTTTACTGAGCCCTCCTTCCTTAATTTTTCCTCTAAAGGACACAGGCAGACAACTCTGCACAGTTCTACAGCACCCTTCTCAGGGCGACCTTGCTTTCTTCCTTTGCAGGTACACAAGGCGAATCCAATCCGCAAGTATGCAGCCGTAGAGGTGAAGTCAAGTGAGCTACCGTTGACCGTGCCCGTGTCTCCTAAGTTCTCCACCCGATTCCAATAGGAGCGCTCCACATCACACCATTCACGGAGAGAGGCCTTTCTCAGACTCACCTACCCGTGATTCCTATAGGAGCGCTCCACATCACACCAGTCACGGAGAGAGGCCTTTCTCAGACTCACCCACCCGTGATTCCGATAGGAGCGCTCCACATCACACCAGTCACGGAGAGAGGCCTTTCTCAGACTCACCTGTGATTCCAATAGGAGCGCTCCAGATCACACCAGTCATAGAGAGAGGCCTTTCTCAGACTCACCCACCCGTGTGTGGCAGTGGACCTGACAACTGTGGATGCTGGTTTTTTTGAAGATCACTTTACACAGTTTTGAAGCTAATGAGATGAAACTCATTTAGGCTTTAACCTGACTTTTCTTGTAGTTATCTCTTTCCAACAGTAGTTGGTCCTTTACTATTGATTTTAGCTGTGGCTAGAATTTCAAGTGTTTTGGCACGTCTAATTATTTTCTGCTAATCTCCCCCACCCCCATTTTATATGTATATTTTAAGCGTAAAATAAAGGCAGTTAAATCCTGGGCTGTCGTTTCAGTCATAGTGTAAATAAGAAGCAGCCAATCCATCAGATTTCATTCTTTGTTCAATGAGTTTGTGGTTAAGGAGCCCTGTGCTATGAGGCAGGGAGCCTCCTTAATGGCACCAAGGAAGACGACTGCATGGACTCGGACGCCTTCAGACAAAGCTGCTGTTGAACATTTTTACTGTTGGTGCTGACCGTGATAGCACAGCCTACATTTTCAAACCTGACTTGGAATAACATTGTTTTAAAGGTCACAAGGATTTATTTGGCTCACTGTTTTCCAGGAATGCAGTCCATCCTTCTGGCAGAGATGGTGAGGTGATGCAGTTTAGCCTGTGGCAGGGTCTTACAGCTCCCTTTTACCAGAAAGCACAACTCAGGTTGGAAGATCGGTCTGCAACCTCCATGGGCTGTCCATCTTGGCTGACATTCCCCAGCTGGACCTCACAGCCAAAGGTTCCACAGCCTCCCAAAGCAGTGCCAGGCTTGGGACCAAGAAACACCAACCTACGGGGTTTTACATCCAAACCATAGCACTCCACCTGTGGCCCTGTAGGCTCTGGCTCTTGCTTAGTGCAAATACATGTACTTCAACTTCCAAAGCTTCCAAAGTCCCCTTTTTCTTCCTGAAATCTGTTAATCTGTTGATTTTATTTTATATGACTGTCTTACATGTATGTATGTATGTATGTATGTATGTATGTATGTATGTGGAATTCTTGTATACTTGTGCCAGTGGACGTTTGAAGAGTCCAGATGCCCTGGACTGGAGTTACAGGTGGTTGTGAGCCACCATTTGGGGCCTGGGAGCTAATCCCAGGTCCTCTGCAAGAGGCACTGATATTGTAGCAAGGGCAGTTCTCAGCATTGAATGTGACATTGAGCCTATTTTTATATTCTTTTGTTGTTGTTCATGCAGTGACTACTTTTTAAATTTATTTTATAAAACCTTTGTAAATTTAGCCAGGGGTGACAAGCAGACAGTGTTTCTTACAATATGATGTGTGCTCTTGGTCCTCCTGAAGGACCACAAAGCAGTACACAGTGTGCTTCCTTTATTCGTCATCTAGAGGTCTTGGCATGCAGCATCATAGTCTGTCACCAGTTCATTTTCAGGGACATGGTGCTGCACACGTACAGCTTGGCACTGGTCCAGCATCTGCAAATCCAGAAAAGAGCAAAAGCAACAGAAAACCCTTGTCTGTACTTTAATCAGGGAGGTGGACAATGGGCACGTGCCTGACTTTCTGTCTCTGTTAGAGTAGCCTGGTGGCAGGGGAGCCTGTGACATTTTGATGAGGCTGTTGGTGAGGGGGTTCCAGGAGGGGACCAACTATAGCTTGCAATGGAAATGGTAAGCGCGGTTGGAATGTGAGTGCTTTTATTTAAATGCTTAAGGGCATGGCCCTTGGAGACCAAAAGACCCCCTGGAGCTGGAGTTGCACATAGTTGAGCCTCCTTGGCATGGGGCCTTCATCAGAGCAGTGTTTGCTCCTAACCAGAGCCACAGCCGAAGCCCCTCTGGATACATTGTTGCTAACAGATGTGGGGACAAAGCATGGCCTCGTGCAGGGAATCCAGTTTTACACAAGTCCTTGGATTTTGTTGTCAATTCTTGGAGCTTTTCATTTTTTTTCTGGTTACTTGTTTTCACTCCACATGTCTGGATCTCTTCTCCAGGCCTGTCATTGGTGCTGGGGGCAGTTGGACATGATCCTGCCTTGTTGGGGGTGACCTGGTTGACCATGGGGACATAACTTGGTGCAAGGGTGAATGGGACAGATTAGAGTGAGCACTGGGCCTTCACCTAGACATTCTGAGGAAGGCAGAGAGGCTCCTGGCCGTGTTGTTTCCTTCATCTTTCCACACTCAGAAGAACTTGGAAACTTTTCCGAACAAAGAACATGCCCTGAGATAAAACTTTACGTGTTTGAGCATGAGCAGAGGCAGGTGGGTCTCTGACTTGAAGGCCAGCCAGGTCTAATACTGAGATCCAGGACAGCCAAGGTGGGACCCCCTGTTTCAAGAAACCAAGTAAATAAAGGAATGTATACATTTGCTCATTTTATACATGTAACTACTTTCCATTGAATTTCAAGTTTCATGAAAGGTTAATGTAACTTTAGTTGTGTGCGTGTATGTGTGTGTGTGTTGTGTAGCCCAGAGCCTGTGGGAACCGGAGTTCCAGATGGGTACTGGTGACAGAACTCAGTCTACCGGCTTTGAACAGCTGAGCCATAGCCCCAGCTTCTAACTTTTATTTTGACCTTGATACCTTTTCTCTTTCATTAGTTCCCATTCAAACTTAAGTCTAATAATACAAATTTAAAAGAATTTACTAGATTCTGCTAAGAAATCTGGCTACCATTTTGCTGGATAATTTTGCCAAATTGCCAGATGGCTGAAGTTCTCAGTTTGTTTTCCCTCCATGTGGCTTCCCATCGCATGGGACTGTACTAACTCAGGTAAGGCCACTGTCACTCTTCCTTCAGCCCGACACTCAGAGCCCTTGGTTGCCATTTCAATTCCTTCCAGGTTCTTTTCCATGGAGTTTCGTCTCTGGGAAGCGGAGCTGAGTGGTAGGCAGACGAATGGGTATTGCTCACTAGAGCATTTCAGAGAGGAGCTCTGAATACAAACAGTTTTATAGACGGGCTGTAACTCAGGCTCACAGCTCAGTGCCATGGGATCCCAGCACTTGGTGAAGCGAAGCTGGTGTTTGTTGTGAATGCAATGGTGGGTAGTACTGCGCCTCACCAACAAACAATACATGCTACGTGAATGCAGCTGTCCTTTCTTCACCTCTCTTAGGAGGGCTGGAGAGGTGGCTCAGAGGTTAAGAGCACTGACTGTTCTTCCAGAGGTCCTGAGTTCTATGCCCAGCAACCACATGGTGGCTCACCTCACACTCTTAGGAGTAACCCACCTATACTGTGCTTCCTTGAAATGTTCATTCATCAAACATTGCCCACATAAACTTAGCAGGGAGATCTAGAAATTGAATTTAGCTTCTTAAACGTACTAGGCAAGTGCTCTACCACTGAGCTATATCTCCAGCTCTATGCTCTTGGAGGCGCATGGCAGAAAAAAGTTAGAGCACACTACATTCATTTAAAAAATTGCTCTTAGACAGTTTATACACGACATGCGTGTGGTTCAGAACTGTAAAGGTAGAGAGAGGGCGAAGCTTTTTCTCACCTGCTCAGTTGTCCTCCCCAGAGCTGGTGTCAACAAGTTCTTACATTCCCCAGGAAGCCTCTGCACACAGATCCCCACCTCTGCCTGCCTGCCTGCCTGTCTGTCTGCCTGCCTGCCTGTCTACCTACCTACCTAGGTTTTTTGAGACCGGGTTTCTCAGTATAATAGCTCTGGTAGTCCTGGAATTCACTCTGTAGCTCAGGCTGGCCTTGAACTCACAGAGCTCCACCTACCTCTGCCAATGCTGGGATTAAAGGGGTGTGGCACCACTTCCTGGCTTGCCTTTATTTTTATTCACAAATTGCATCACTCTGCTCTTTGCTCTTTTCAGTGTGTTGTGGCTTTGAATGATGGACTACCTTGAGTGTGTCCTGGTTTCCTGAGTGTGAAGCCACATGGGAATCTTGTGACAGGTGGAGGTCCCGAAGACCAGGGACAGATCAGCAACACTTGGCCTTGGCTTGGCTTTGTTGAGCCCTGGGGTCTTGCATATTATTACCTGAAGGGCCTGCTTGAACCTCCTCCTCCTGTTTGAGAAAGTTGTTTACTTACATAGAGCTCCCTATTAGCAGAGCTGGTTTTGACCCCACTGTGTAGCTCAGGCTGGCCTTAACTTCCCAAGTGCTAGGATTACAGGTGCTTACCTCTGGGCCATCTCCAGCATCTGCAGTGAGAACCCCCAAGATATATATTTATATATATCAATTTATTAAGGGATGCTATGGGGAAAACAGACTCATGGAGCTGGGACCAAGGGAACTGGTGACAAACCACATGCTGCTTCACACCACCTGAGAGCATTTGACCCCCCCTCAAGCCATGCCCCAAGACCAGTACCCCAAAGCTATTGGTGAATGAATTCCCACAACAACTCCCCTTTTTTGTCTAAATAAGGTTCTAGACCTAATACAAAACTATATACAATAAGAGCAATTATCAAGTATTGTTCAGGACAAAGAAAGGGTAATAACACAAAATGGAACTACAACCAACAAGAACAACATCAAGCAAGAAGCAGCACACTAAATGTCCAGGCTATAGGTAATTGGCAAATAGCAGAGATTATGTGGATAGCTGTCCTATCCTGAAGAGTAAGTCTTGGACCTAATATGCCTTAGCTAAGATGTGAGAGGGTACTAGCTGTGACTATCCAGTCTTCAACCTCATCAGAGACCTGAGAAGGAAAATAACATTAGCAGGGTAAGCAGGAAGTGCAAGCATGCGACTTCCTAAAGGTTCAAGAAATGACAGAAACAGCTGACTACCTGGACAGTCACACAAAGTCTTAAAAGGAGAGAGAGAGTTTTGACAATAGTCCCTAAATTTCTGATTTCCTTTGGCTCCACACTAAGCATCACTCTTTGTAGTTTTGTAGAAGTCTGGGGAAGTTCCTCAGTGCTGACAGTGGCAGTTAAAAAAGTTGTGAGCCACGTGGCTAGGCTCCTGTTTCTGCAGAGGCTGAGTGTCAGTCTGGTGGCCTGGATCCTGGTGGACATTCTGAAGCCTGAGCTGCCATCTGCCTCGCAGCCTGCTGGGATGCTCATTTTAGACAACATATAAAGTTTCCTGGAGACAGGACAAACCCAGGCCTATGGAAAGAGCAGGAAGGTACTTTGAGTAGTGACGAAGGTGTAACCAGGGAGCCGACATGTTTGCTCCAAGGCCAAGAATTCCAGGACAATTTGTTACTCAGCTAAAGCCAATGTGGTTGCTACAGAAAGACTGGGGCAGAGTCATGCCATGGGCCCTTGTGTGTGTGTGTGTGTGTGTGTGTGTGTGTGTGTGTGTGTGTGTGTGTGTGTGTGTGTGTGTCTCGGGGGAGGGCAGCTGCTATTGATGGAAGCTGAGCTTAAGCCAAGTCATAAGTTATGTGTTGTGGTTCTAGGCTCCCTGAATGAAGTATGCAAATACTGCCATTCATTTGGAAGAAGTATGGTTGCAGAGTCAGAGGCAGCAGGCTGGAGGAGGTTTAGGTTTATCAGGAAAGAAGCCTGGAGGCATCAGTTGCCCTTCTCTCTTTAGAGGGAATAATAATAATAATAATAATAATAATAATAATAATAATAATAAAGACTGCACAGGGAATGTTCACCATTCCCAATCTGCACAATCTGCAGAGCCTGGAGTAGCTAGGAGTTGCTATCTCTAGTGCTGCAGGCAGTAGTGTGGATATGCCAAGAACTGTGGCCATGGGCCGTGGCCCAGCCTGTTTGGACTCTGACATATTCTCTGGTCTTCTTTCAGGGGCAAAGGTCAGAGACAGCATGTCAGACTACTAAACAGTAAACGTGAGAAGCAGTTTGGGGTCACGCTGCTCACCAGTGCCTGGTGGTACAGGGAGATGGTGAGGTGGTGGCAGGAAGCTTCCCAGGCTCCTGGTGCTTTCCTGACACAGCCACATTGCACAGATGGGTAAAGCCTTAGTGTGTTTTTATATAAAATATAGTCAGTCTCTCTCTCCCCCCCCCATCTCTTCTTTATGATACCATACTCTGACCACACTCATACTTATTAATACCACTTTTTTTTTTGGTTTTTCGAGACAGGGTTTCTCCGTATTGTTTTGGAGGCTGTCGGTCCAGCCCTATTAATACCACTTTTAACAGCAGCATACTACTCCATTCTGAATTTGCTTCTCCCTGGTGAAAATGCTTGCTTTGTGAAGGATTGTTCTGGGCTCTATTTATAAACAGTGTTGTTCCCCTTAATATGTCATGTCTGTATCAACTGATATCTTCTGACCACGCACCAGTCCACCTTGTGAGTAAAATATAAGTTTAAGACAAACAACAACAAGAACAAAAACCCTCTAAAGGAAATGGGCTGGGAGACGGCTCTCTTGGTAAAGTGTTGGCCTCGTAAGCATGAGGACCTGAGTTCCATGCCCAGAACCCATGTGAAATAATCCAAGTGCAGTTGTGAGCCCTTGTAAGCCCAGTGTTGAGATGTAGGCAGCTTTTA